ACATTGGTCTTTCATCCTTTCCAATGCTTCAAGTTTCCTTCTTTTATCATCTTCCTTCAGTGTGAATTACAGATGACTCTTGAACAATGCTGAGGTTAGGAATGCCAGTCCCCATACAGTCTGCATGTAGCATTTGATGCTCCAAAAGCTTAACTACTAATAACCTACTATTGACTGGAAACCTTACCAACAACATAACTGTCAACTAACAAGTATTATGTATATGTATTATATATGGTGCTCTTACAATAAAGCAAGCTAGAGAAAAAAGTGTTTTTAAGAAAATCATAAGGAAGAGAAAATGCATGTATAGTACTAGTTATATATTTATTGAAAAATTCTGTGTATAGGTAGGCTGGGCCAGCCAAGGGGCAGCAGCGGTGGTGGGCCTGCCCACAATGGTGATGTTCCTGTGCTTGCTGGCCTCAGCTCTGCAGCATCAGCTGTTTGGGGGCCCACAGGTGGCAACAGAAGTCTGGAGGTACAGTACAGTTGCCCCATCTACCTAGAAGTATACCACCAGCCTGTAGACATTGGCAGCTGTGGCTACTAGTGAGTGCCTGAGGTTCCAGGAGGCCACAGACCCAGGGCAGCACATGAGGAGGGATCCATGGCCAGCCCAGTAGGGGCCTGAAGCTCCCAGCTGCCCCTGAGCAGCTTCCAGAGACTAGGGCATGAAGGATCAAGAGCTCAGGCTCCCTATACAATGTGGTCCTTGCCCTCTAGGCTGTTCCTTTGTTCAGCCTAGCCTCCTGCCAGTCCCAAGCACTGGACCCAACCACCCTGTTGGCACACAGGGAAACTTGCAGATCTGCCTGGTCCTAGGACTCCCAGGGGCTGCTGACAGCCTTGGTAGGCCTCCACGAGTACTCAGGGAGCAGCAGGTGGGGTCTCTGCACCAGTCACCTTTTGATCTGATCCTGTGGAGACTCAGGTGTGCAGTGGTAAGTAAACATTTGTGGCCTTGCTGTCAACTCTTAAAAAAAATATCCACATTTAAGTTGATCTAGGAAGTTCAAACTGGTGTTTTTCAAGGGTCAACTGTATTTCCTTTAGCCATTTTTTAAAAGACAAGTCTGCTAGCAACAAGATTCTTAAGTTTTCCTTTTGAGAATGTCTTCATTCCCCTTTCATTCTTGAAGACTTTTGTAAGATACAGAATTTACTGTTGACAGTTTTTGTCTTTCAGCACTTGAAAAATGTGCAACTTCCCTCTGGCCTTCATGGTTTCAGATGAGAAATCTGTTTTTATTTGAATTTGTGTTCCCTTATGGGTGATGTGTTTTTTCTCTCTGGTTGCTTTGATGACCTTGTCTCTACCTTTTAGAAGTGTAATTATGATGTGTTGTGGCATGGATGTCTTTGGGCTTATCATCTTTGGAGATTGTTCAACTTTTAAATATCTTTCACAAACTTGAGAAATTTTCAGCCATTATTTTTTTTTGAATTCTCTTTTATTCCAACTCTTTTTCAACTCTCCTTCTGGGACTCCAATGACATGAATTTGGTGATTTTGTTATTGTCCCACAGTTCCCTGAGGCTCTGTATATATTTTTTCCTATTTTCTGTTTTTCATATTGAATAAATTCTCTTAATTAGTCTTGAAGTTCATCGATTTTATCCTCTGTTATCTCCACTCTATTATCAAGCCCAACCAGTGAGGTGTGTTGTTTTGTTTTGTTTTTTAATTTCTATTATTTTATCTTTCAGCTCTATAATTTCAACTTGGTTCTTTTTAATAATTTCTATTTCTTTGTCAATATTTTCTATTTTTCATTTGTTTCAGGAGAATTTGTAATTGTTCATTAAAGCATTTTTACAGTAACTCCTTAGGATCTTTGTCAGATAATTCCAATATCTGTTTCATCTCTGTGTTGGTGTTGGTTGATTACCTTTTTTCATTCAAGTTGTGCTTTTCCTGGTTCTTGGTGTGGCCAGTAATTTTCATTGTATCTTAGACATTTTGATTACTATCTTAAGAGTCTCTAAATCTTATTTAAGTCTTATTTTAGCAATCAGTCACCCTGTTTAGATTTAGCACTCAGATCTGGCTTAACTTTTGTAGGCTATGGTTCCAATGATTACTTAATTTCTTGAGATTTTGTAATGCCTCTTTGATGTGCTTTGTTTATCTGGTGCCACTGGAGCTCCCAGTAGGACAACCAAAAATATCTCCAGACATTTCCAAAAGTCGCTTGGGAGAATATCACCCCGAGTTGAGGAGCACTGCTCGAAAGAAGCCAGAAGAATTCAATGTCCCCAGTGTGGGACAAGCCATGATCCTGTGGGGAGGGAGGAATACATTCTCCCCCAAAGCCTCATGGGAGAACTTTGGGATCCCAGACTGTGGTTGTGTGTCCTAACTCCTCTGGCCTGGGACAAGGAAAAGGCTTGATTTGCCTCCTACTACATCTGCTCAAACTTGTACTCAGGGATGATGCTGACAATGCCTCCTATAATGAAACAGGATTTGATTTCTTGTATAACCCAGCTCAAAGGCTAATCTAGCCCAAACAAACAAGTGGTCTTTATTATGAAATTATAGCTATGAAGTTTCAAGGTGAAATCCTCTTAGCATTACATATATATGTATGCATATTTGTATTTTCTGCTTTAAGACATGCTGCCAAAGATCGTTATCAGATACATCCTTTTTGCTTGTTAGTTGGTTTTCTCCTTATTTCTACATTGCTGAGATGACATCACATGACCTTTCGAAAGTTTTGCTTTTCTGCCTGGAAACATAGGGCAGTGTTTCATAAAAGTGAGGAAAAGGTTGCTATGCTTTAAAAAATCCCCTTAACTTAAAAAAAAGAAAGAAGAAAGAAAAAAGAAAGAAAGAAAGAAGAAAGAAAGAAAGAAAGAAAGAAAGAAAGAAAGAAAGAAAGAAAAAAGAAAAAAGAAAAAAGAAAAAAGAAAAAGCTGCCAGATTGTTTATTGCAGAGTTGACTCATTTGGCCAAAAGGAGTTGTTTTGGCTAATCATTTACTCAGCTGCCCTCTGAATAGAAATGCCATCCTCAAACTGTATGAAAATTAAATGAAACCTCACAGAATACTTGTTTACCAAATGGCTGAAGTTTAAGGTCAAATCTGTTGGCCTCCTTGGCATTTTCTGCATGCCAAGCAAGTCTGAATTATTACATATTAATTATTCAGCTCGAATTGCTTCACATTATCTGGTTGGTGGAGGTCTATGATCATTAAGCAATTGCCACCATCCTCCTCCAGAACATTCATGGCATTTGGGGCTACTAAAAGTAAATCCAGTATGTCTTGGAGTCCAAAATAAATCACACGCCAGTACAGAATAAAATTAGCCTCTCTCTCTTACCTTCAACAAAGGTAGATTTCTTTGAAACATGGCCTGCTCAGGATAAGAATGTTTTATAGACTGTGAGCTCCTGGAGATAGAAGTACAGCTGGGTTCTCACCTGGCTGGAGGAAATGTCTCCTTCTGGACCTCAACTCTGGCACCAACCCTTTGTATCCTTGTCTTGAAAGAGGTAAGAGTTTTGTCCACAATATTCTGCCTATTCCCCTTCTTTGTCCACCTTCCACAAGTCAGAGGGACTCTTGTTGAAAGGGTTTGGAAAAGTCCTAATAGGGAATAAATGAAGCACAGCCACCTATCTTCAAGGCTGTCCTCAAACCATGAGGCCTCCTTGCCAATGAATTTACTTGAAGTGCTGGGAAACTGACTTTTTTCCCCTGTTTTTGGAAACAATGATTACTTCACTGAAGGCCTGATGACATCCTCCCCCACCATAGTAGTAACATGAAAAGAGTTTTTACATAGTTTTTTGGCTCTTACTTGGCATCAGTATGAGCATCTCTGGTTCTATCAATCTGGTTGTAACTTTGAAGGTGAAGACTGGCTTAGGAGCTCAGAGAGAATGTACTGGGTCTAGAAGCCCTGAGATCAAGGGCCAAGTAGAAAAATCCAGCCCTCAGTCCTGACACTGCTGTGGTTCTGTTGTCTGCCATCAGTGATATCATTGTGGGGATGTTATGAGAAAAAGGGTGACAGAGGAAATGTCTGCAAGCTGTTGGATGATTTCAATGGCTCTCAAATTATTGTTATTTTGGTGAGGCTGCCAGCCTGCAGCTCAATGTTGGCTTCTAAAGAAGTGTGACCTCCAAAGCGAAGTGAGGTATATTTTCACACAGTGGTCAAGAGTGTGAGTTCCCAGGTCAGTGTGCCCTATTTCAAATTCTGGTTTCACTTCTTCCCACCTGTGTGCCTGCGAGCAAGTTAATGAAACTTTCTTGTCTCAGTTTCTTCAACTATAAAGTGGGGATAATAATAGTGCACAATTCATAGTGTTGCCATGCAGGGTGAATGAAACAGTAAATGTGAAGTGCTAAGGATAGAGCCTATAAGGTAGTAAGTACTCAATAAGCATTAGGTCTTATCATAGAAAGTACTTGGAAAATATCTGTCCTCACAGTCACCACCTGATCAGAATGGCCATCTGGACCAGAAGTACCTCACCACTAGGAAGTATGTCTGCAGTAGCAACTTTTGCTATGTATCTTTGGTGAATGGCATGGTAGAGGTGCCTAATCTATCAACAGGTTCTCCATTGCAAGCAGCCTAACTTCTTTCCAAAAAACATTGATGGGAACAACTTTCAAATGTATTTCAGAATTGTCTTAAGGGCAACATTAGCTTTTAAACTGAAGAAAAGTTATTACCCTTGACCTGGGGATTTCCATTCAGACTGTAATGACCCATAATTTCCCAATGCCCCTGCTAAGTTTGTTAGGAACTGAAAAGGGCAACTGAAATTGACCTAAAGTCCAATGTTGGTGAATTATCACTATCTTTCTCTTTGAGAGAGAAACAGAGAGAGAGAGAGAGAGAGCATGTGCTGGGGGTGGGGGAGGCAGGTTCATGTGGGCAAGGAAGGGTAGGAGGAAAAGCAAACACTCAGTGTTGAACTGGTGTCTTTGTTTTAATCAAGGGGAGTGCTAAGTGATCATCAGAAATGTCTTCTAGTGCTCCCTTCTGCAGCACATATGCTAAAACTGGAATGATACAGAGAAGATTAGCATGGCCCCTGCACTAGAAATGTCTTCTGGTAGCAGAGAGAAATATGGAAACAATTCAAGTATGCCTGACCGTTTACGAAATTTTGAAGCTTGAGAAAACTGATTTTGAATGCATAGCCCAAATACTATCTAGATAGAAGTATTTCCTTCTAAAGAAATGAGATAGTAGGAGTAACTGTTGGTTAATGATGAAGGTAAACGTGCATGATCCTAATGGACCACACAGAGGCCTGGGGGGAGTCCTAAGAGTTCTCTGTGTCTGTGAGGTAGAGAAATGGCCCTCAGCACCTCAGAGTTCACAGACAGGGAAGAAAAGAGAAGACACTGCTTGGCCTTCTAGTTTCTCTGTCCTTCCACCTCATTCCCAGCTCAGCAGGGTGACACTGGGAAGCTGAGTTATGGATCATTGCCCAGCCCCACAGAAAAGGGAGTCCTGTATCCATGCCCAGAGTTCCTGAGATGGTGCTCTGTGAGCCCCCTCAGTGAGCTCCCCTTGAACAGACCACAGAAGAATGTTCCAGCCTCTCATCCTGGATGGGTGCTATGGACTCAGTGTCAAAATTCACATATTGAAACCTCAGCCCCCAAGGTGATGGTATCTGGGGATGGGAGCCTTTGAAAAGTAATTAGGTCATGAGGATAGAGCCCTCATGATGGGATTGGAGCTCTTATAAGAAGAGACTGGAGAGAGTTTGTTTCCTGTCTCTGCTCTCTGCTATGTGAAGAGACAATGAGAGGGTCATCTTTTGCAAACCAGGAAATGAGCTCTCACCAGACACCGGATCTGCTGGCACCTTGAGCTTGGACTTCCAGCTCCAGAACTGTGAGATATAGATGTCTGTTGACTCTTGGCCACCTTTTATTCAGTCTGAACTGTTAAGGCAATGGTTATATCCATTCCATCTTCCTTCCATTTCTTTAGGTGGGAAGAGCTTGCTGACAGTGTGGGATAAGCAGATGGTGGGTCCATTTGGCCTGGTGTGGACTGAGCCTGGGTGGAGGTTAGAGCTAAGAGCTCCTTCAACTGCCTAAGAAAAGGAGAAAGATAAGGAAGGGAATGGAATTTATCCTTTGAAGAGCTAAAACTATAATTGCTAGACACTGGCCATTTAAAATTATTGTAATGTATGGTTTTCATTAATTTTTTAAGACAAATATATCATCCATATAAATAATAGTAAGTGCTAATGTTTATTAAGCACATCAAAGGCCCAAGCATGTACAAAGCACTTCCCACATCTTATATCATTTTTTCTTTCCCAGACTTCTAAAGCAAGTATTATTGTGCCATTTTATAATTCAAGAAGCCCCATCTAAGTATATGGGTGGTTAAATAACTTGTCTAAGGACACAATAACGAATAAAGAACTGGGACTTAAAGTCATTGCTGTCTTGGGGTGCCTGGGTGGCTCAGTTGGTTAAGCGACTGCCTTCAGCTCAGGTCATGATCCTGGAGTCCCGGGATCGAGTCCCACGTCAGGCTCCCTGCTCAGCAGGGAGTCTGCTTCTCCCTCTGACCTTCCCCCTCTCATGTGCTCTCTCTCTCTCTCTCTCATTCTCACTCTCTCAAATAAATAAATAAATAAATAAAATCTTTAAAAAAAAAAAAATAAAGTCATTGCTGTCTGAATCAGAAACGCACTATCATCTGGGGGCTCCATATACTTTCTTTGCAACTATTCCATAAATGTAAAATAATTCCAAAATAAAAAGGTTACTTGAAAAAAATAAAAGCCATTATCTAAATTGCTCTACTATTCTATCCTCCCAAATAACTTATGAAAGTTTTGCTTTGTTTGTATACTAAATTTCCCGGAAATTTTGAAAAATAGTGTGTTATATTTTCACCTGGGGATCCTTCCAGCATCTATATTCCCAAAGTATTATTTTGTATTTCTTCATGGAAAGCACTGAGAAAAGCACTTGCCACTTGAACAGTTCCCAATAAATGTTCATCATCATCATCATCATCACTGACTTCACAAATAATCATTTGTTACATTATACTTTAAGAATCAGTGAACATACTAAACTCCCCCACTAGACTGTGAATGACTCAAGAGTAAGAGACCATAGCACGTGTTTACTAACATGTTATAAAACAAATAAATCCCTGTGCTCACAATTAGATCTTTCAGCAATGAATCATCAAATCGACAGGTAGTTTGTTTCGGTTTCTAACTTGCCTTTGCCCTGGAGGAAGAGGGTTGTTGCCAGAGGGGTATCTTCTCCACGACTCTTGGCCACCTTTGTAAGAGGAGAAGCCCCATTGTTCCATCCATCTGTTGCTTGGGGTAGGGATGTGACTGACATAAAGCCACACATTCCGAAGGTAATTTTCCTGCAGCATGTCCTCCCTCTGCTCTAACTCAGTTAAATCCAGCTGTCCTGTCTGCTGCGTTGCGCATCAAGGGAAAATCTACACGTGGGAACAAAATTAAGGTGACCTCATGCCCTTTGGACACAATTTAAAAGGGGTCAAATCGTCTTTTTCTAGCTGTCAGGTTCAATGTTTCTTATGCCATGTCCTCATTTTCCACTGAATGCCAACACTGTTTATAAGTTTGTGGGATCTAGGAAGAGTGAGGGCACAGCTCCAGAAGCCTGATGCATCGGGAAATGTGAACTCTGGAAACAAAAGTGTGCACTGTGCTTTTGCTGAACCAGCATACTGTGTGTGTTCACTGAGATGGCAGGCCCATCACGTGTTTGCTCGACCAACTGGTGATGACTAGGGTACTGTTTTAAAAGATGTTAGTTCTAGGTAATTGCAGGAAATATCCTCTAGCTCAGCACTATTCAACAGAACCTTCTGCAGTGACAGAGATTTATGTATCTGTGTTGTCTAATAAGGTGGAGTGGGACTAGAGGGACACTGCAGTATTGGGTAAAACCATCTCAGCTTTATTATAGGGTGACCACTGCTCAGAAGCATGACGTTTGTCAGAGGAGGGTGTGGGGTTGTGGGCAGGGGTGTAGATGTGTATAAACATAACCCCAAGTTTTTATATATGAAGCGAAATTCTCGGAATGGGTTTTCCTTTTCTCTGTCTTGTCTTGAATATGTCTCTTTTCAATAAACTAAGCAATCCTTTAGAAATTACACCTTTTCAGTCTTATACCTCCAAAGAGTTATTTTTGAATCCCTGCCTCATTAACAACTGTGCCATTTTCCCTCCTGAAGAAAAACAATTGTTTAAATTGGATGTCTTGGTTCATGGTTAACAATGAGACTTAGATCAGGTGTGAATTTTGGTCCCAAGGTAAAATTGTTACTAGGACATTAAAACACACACACACACACACACACAAGCATCATATGACCTCCAACTATACATTTTGCTATTTGCCACAGGTGAGTTATATAATTGGGAGGGTGAAAGAAGATGGACAATTTTATTTATTTTATTCTTTTTTTTTTTTTTTGAGAGAGAGTGTAAGTGTAAGCAGGGAGGAAAGAAAGAGAGAGAACCTTAAGCAGACTCCATGCTCAGTGCAGAACCAATGCGGGGCTCCACAGGCTTGATCTCACAACCCTGAGAGTCCGACGCTTAACTGACTGAGTCACCCAGGCACTCCAACTTCCTAGAAACTTCTTAAGCTCCAGCAAATAGACCCTAAATAGGTGAGCTGCTCCTCAAATCCTAAACCCGTCCAGAACTGTCTGTATCCCAGCATGAACACAGGGCACTATTCTGAAAGTAGGAGCTTAGATCTATTCATTGATTAAAAGAATGATAGGTTTTGTCAAAATAGAAATAAAACATTATTTCAAATACAGGTTCTTCATGAAGTCTTATTGCAATTTTAAACCTTCACCATTTTCTTTGTTTTGACGCATGACCTTGAAAAATCACTAAGCATAATTAGTCAGAAAATCAATTTCTTTCTTTGTTGCTTATAGAAATTAATTCGGCAAGCTACAGTTTTAAAAAAAAGCATGCTTGTACTAACCATATTTTGTATATCTAACGGTACTGCTTTCCTTCTAGGGATACCATGCCTTCCCACCAAATCTCGGCTCCCCTCTCCTGTACGCCTTCAGGATGGTTTTCCGTTTCCCAAAAGCATAGCAACTAATCTCATCTCTGCTAAATAGAGAGTCTAAAGATAGCTGTTGCACTTGACCAAATGGCACAATGATTTCCCCGTCAGGTTGCAGGGTGTGGGGGAGAGGGGTAAGGTTGCGGGGCGGGGGGAGGGGTGAGGGGCACCTTCTCGACTTCAGGGCATGAGTGTTCCTGTGGCCGGAGCCTGGAGGCCCTGGCGATCACCTGGATAGGTGGGTCGGGCACTGCCCAGCGTGGGTGTACGCACCAAAGCAGCGAGTAATAGGACAAATCTGGCCTTACCCTAATCTGTATCTCCTTAGAGCTTGTGGTCTAGGGATCCCAAAAAGCGGTCACCCTGCAGCTGAGTCTGTGACCCTATGTGTACTCTACCAGGGGCCTTCTGGCAGCAATGGCTCCATATTGATGGGCGTGACCTGTGAGTGATTTCAGTGGTTTAAAGTTTAGAAAAGTTTTGGTTAGATTAGAGAAGGGGGGTGGTACCTGGACAAGTCATCAGGGGAGGGCTTGAAGGTGAGGAAGGCCTTTTGCCATTTTGGAAGACACATCCTGCTGACACCTGCCTGCTCCACAGCTTCTGTCTGCAGGTCCTTTGGGCCCAAACGCTCATGGTCAGTGACTAAGGGCACCGAGAAGCACCATTCACCCTGTAGGAGTTTGATAATAAATACTCAGGTGAGTAACTTTTGAGAACAGAAGGGAACAAGATGTCCTGTATAATGTGTAAGTTGGGGAAAAGCCCCAAGTGGAGGATAAACCTGCATTCCACTTTTGGATCTCAATTTCTCTGGAGTGCAGGGAATTTTCCCCTTACCCCTTTCCTCACCTCTGACCAAAGGAGTAAATAACATTAAACCTCTTCATGTGATTTCACACCAGAACTGTGATTGAGTGGATACCTGGTGGCAATTTACTGGCATGCAGAGTACATGTTCAGAAACCCAAGATGCATGCAGTTCTAAGAAGCTCCACAAACCCACGTCCC